TAGAAGTTATATGATAAGATGGCCCTTTAAGCCGAAACCGGTTTGACTCAGTGGTAGAGCATCGGTCTGGGAACTGAAGGGCCCCAGGTTCGATTCCGGTCAAGGGCATGTACATTGGTTGCGGGCACATCCAGTGGGGGGTGTGCAGGAGGCAGCTGGTCGATGTTTCTCTCTCATCGACATTTCTAGCTCTCTATCTCTCTCCCTTTCTCTCTGTAAAAAATCAATAAAATATATTTTAAAAAAAAAAAAGATGGCCCTTTAAGAGGGGTGTGTGTGTGTTTGTGTGTGTGTGTGTGTGTGTGTGTGTGTTCGGGTGTCTTCTCGTGCTGGTCCTGCTCCCTGCGACACTCATAATGGATATATCACTGCAGATCGTTTGAACACTACCTAATTAGTAAGTAATTACAACAGACGATGAATAAATTATCATTTTACACTACATACTTATTTACTTTTATAAATAAATGTATTGGTTTATTGCCAGAATAAATAAATAATTGGTTAAAACAGGGAGTTAACTTCTAGTAAGTTCTGTAATAATTAATGAATCACTAGCAAATTCCCTGCCACAGTTCAATAGCTGCTGTGAGGTGCATTCGCTGGTTCTTGCCACCCTTGAAACTCTGGATGCTGGTCTCCACTAGCAGGTTTCAAACTCTCTCACTTTCTCAGAGTCAAAAAGCACTGCCAGGAAATGGAGCCTTCGGTGGGTTTACACCGTTTGGGAACGTGCTTTTTTTTTTTTTTTTTTTTTTTTTTTTTTTTTTTTTTTTTTTTTTTTTTTTTGCCTTGCCTCCCTCCTGTAGAGGAAAGATTGCAAGGAAGCTTGGTGAACACTGCGATGGTCAGAAAACAGCCCTGCTCTCCCGGCCCCGAAGCCCCAGCACCTTAGCGGGTCACCCTGGATTGTAGCGAAAGCTGACGCCCTGCCCACGGTGGCCGAGAACTTAAACTAGTGCAAGACAAGCCTTGATGAACAGACAATAGATAAAATAGTGGGTTATTAAGGGAAACCAGGGAAGTTCCGAGGCACCTCTGGCATTTAAGGACGGTGTCTTCAAATGCTAACACTGGACTCTCCCTCACTTTCCCGCAGTGCTGTGACTGGAATTCTGGGCTGGTGGCCTTTTGTCTGATCTGTGATGACATTTCTGATCTTCTTAAGAATATTGAACCAGGAAAGGTCGTGCTGAGCACCCAAAAGAGCAGATGCGCAGCTCCGGGGCAGAACACAGCCCCAGATTTAGGACTCAAGCTCTTCCAGCATGCCACGCCGCACACACCGGCACCAGCTGATGGTGATGGTGTCCATGGCGACAAAGGAACCGCATGGACCTCCTTTGTCCCAAATGGTTGGTCAGGGAGGTGGGGGGCGGGGGTGTCGGGGAGGACACTTCCATCAAGGCGGTCAGCTTCCAAGTGGGTGACCCAGGAATGTTTCCATGACTCTAAGCATAGTGCAGTTAACAGCGATTCCACCTCTCACTCCCCAAGAGATGTCGCCTGACTGGGGAGGGGCTTTCAATAGCATTCCCTCCTGGGGACCCCACATAACTTCCCCAGGAGCAGGGATGGTTTCGGTTCTGAGGTCAAGGATCCCCATCACCTTCTTCCCTCTCTCCTGCTCTTTCCCTTCTTCCTTCCCTTCGTTCTCTCTCCTTTCCATTCTTCTCTCCTTCTGCTCCCTGGCCTTCTAGTATGAGCCTTCTTGCTGTGTCATGGATGACTCTGCCAGATCTTCCAGGGGGAGGGGAGACATGTCAGTGAGATCTGGGGCTGCCCCTTCTCGTCTAGCTCCTGCCCGGGGTACAGCCCTCGGCCCTGGTAAGTCCACCTGACTGTGGAAACCCGAGCACTGATGGGAAAGAAGAGAGGGGGTTTTGGGTCTCTCACTTTCCTGTGCATTAGAGTCATCATTTCTCAGTCAAGATTTGGGGTGAAAATTGGGGCCTAATCAGAAATCCCAGACTTCAAGGCTGGGCCAGTGCAAGGCAAGGGCACGATCGCGGACAGGAAGTGGTGTAGCTGCGTGGGTGTGAAGGAAGGTCCTCCTCCCTCGCTGACACTTTCTCAGCCTCCTGCCCCTCCTACACCCAACCAACAGCCAAGGCACATGGTGCTGTGCACACAGCTGAAAGAGCTCTCTTCCTGAAAAAAAAAAAAAAAAAAAAAAAAAAACAACCCTAGGGTAGCTGAAGGAACCCCAATGTCAATGGGAGCTTGATAAGGATATTCTTTGCGCTGAAACCATTTGGCTCAGTGGATAGAGAGTCGGCCTGTGGACTGAAGGGTCCGGGTTTGATTCTGGTCAAGGGCACATCCCCAGTGAGGGGTGTGCAGGAGGCAGCTGATCAATGATTCTCTCTCATTGATGTTTCTGGCTCTCTATCCCTCTCTTCCTCTCTGTAAAAATCAATAAAATATATATATGTAAAAAAAAAAAAAAAAAAAAAAAACAGAAAATTCTTCGCAGCCAGGCTCAGGGAACATTTGGTTTTCAGAACTCTCGTCACATCTCCAGTTGTCTTGGAGGGGACTTGGCCCCAACCATGACTCACACACTTGGCTTACCCTAGTTTTGGTTCCCTGACTCCAAATGCACTGTTTTGACATCAAAAGTGAAGGTCTGCCCTGGCTGGTTTGGCTCAGTGGATGGAGCATTGGCCTGTGGACTGAGGGGTCCCAAGTTCGATTCCGGCCAAGGGCACATGTCTAGGTTGCGGGCTTGATTCCCGGAGGGTGTTGGGGGCGCATGCAGGAGGCAGCTGATCAATGATTCTCTCTCATCATTGATGTTTCTCTCTATCCCTTTCCCTTTCTCTCTAAAAATCAATATATATATATATATATATATATATATATATATTAAAAAAAATTTTTTTAAGTGAAGATCTAACTGTCCCTAAATGTGAGCTCAACCTCCATGAATGCACAACTTAGGGAGGCAACCCCCAGTGTTCAACAGCTAATGTAAATCAAGTTCTTGATAGCAGACCAGGCCATCGGCACACGGGAGCAATGTGGCTGGACCTGGGGGTCGGGGGCATTAAGAACTTGGAGGAATCACATGTGATGCGGAATGCTCAGGCACCTGCGCTGTCCACCCGCCTGACCAGGGGAGCGATGGAGCCCTTTATAAAACAGGTGAAAACAGACTGAGAGGCACGTGTGAAGGAAGGACGATGGGCTCACGGGTACAGCTCTGAACGTGTGGAGCGTTTGTGCTTGTGAGGCTCACGAGAGGAAGCTGCACATACAGGGCGCCTGCAGGAGAGAGCTGGGCTCTGGGCACAGAAGGGGAGGTATCGGTCGAGGAAGAGATGGGGGCTGAGGCCCCAAGAAGAGGAGCCCCTTTATACTGAGAAGCACGTAGAGAGAGAGGAAGAAACGCAGAAGCCAGTATCCTAGGCCCGCGGTCGGCAAACCGCGGCTCGCAAGCCACATGCAGCTCTTTGGCCCCTCGAGTGTCCAAACGCCACTTCTTCCAAACAGACTCGCCCAGGCCGAAAACCGACTCTGCGCTCGGGCCACGAAGTTCCGACCGCACGGTACGTGCGCGCCCGCGCGTGGTGTTTTGTGGAAGAGCCACACTCAAGGGGCCAAAGAGCCGCATGTGGCTCGTGAGCTGAGGTTTGCTGACCACTGTCCTAGGCTGCTGGGAAGTTAAGGAGCTCGCTGGGACCTCGGAGTGGGCAGTTTCAGTGAGGTGGCAGGGGCAATGGCTGCCAAATTTCATTTCCCGCCCTCCCCTCGAGCTGGGTGAGGCTGTGGGATTGAGGTCTGGCCCACGGAGTGTGAGCAGAAAATGATTCACTGCACCTCTGAGAGGTGGCCTCTCCCCACTGGCCTCCATGGGCCCTTCCTCCCAAGTCTCCCAGGCAGAGTAGAGGATTGGGCCGGGGGGAGGGGGGGGAGAGAGGGCTGCAATGCCTTAGGGGTACAGAGCAACTAAATGGAAGGAGATTGGTCCCCGAGTTATTATGTGGGAACCGGGGGCTCGGGCCAGGGGGGCCAGCAGGTACAGACACGCAGGGGTTAGCAGCGGAGTGGGTGAGCAGTCAGCTGGACAGCAGTGGCAGTAGGGATCAGAGCACATCAGCAGTCAGGAAAGCGAAACAGGTCTAGCTGTGACCCCGCTGGGGTGGCAGGGAAGTCCCTTTGGCCTTGGCTCTGTAGCCCCTCAGCTTGGATGAGGCTGAAGGGGAGATGACCAGGAGGGGGAAGCAAGGCCCATGAGGAGACAACGGACACCCCGTCAGGAAGAGAAAATACATTATGTCTCTAAATTCCAAGAATGTGCCCAGCCGGTGTGGCTCGGTGGTTGAGCTTCCACCGTGCACCGAGAGGTCGCTGGTTGGGTTCCCCGTCAGGGCACATGCGTGGGTTGTGGGCTGGTTCCCCAGGAGGGGGTGTGCGTGCAAGAGGCAGCCCATTATATTTCTCTCGCTGACGTTTCTCTCTCTGACCCTCTTTCTTCCCCTCTCTCTAAAATGCACAACAACAAAAAAATTAAACATAAATAAATCCCAAGAACGTGGCAAAAAAAAAAAAGAGAAACAATAACTACCTTTATTACCCAACCCTAGAGAAGACGATTCTGCACAACGGCAGAACCTCGTAGCTGCCGCAGTGGAAGTGGAGGGAGTCGTGAGGGTGGTCTCCCGACCTGGGCGACGTGGACTCATCCTCTCCAGGCTCGGAGAGTCCGGTGCCCCGGTGGGCATGGCCCAGAGCGCCGAGGAGGAGGAGGAGGAGGAGGAGGAGGAGGAGGAGGAGGAGGCGGCGGCCTGGCAAGGGGCCTCCCCCTCTAACGTGGATCTGGCTGCAGGGGGAGATGGCCAAGACCCATGAGCCACCAAACAAGCCGAGGAGATAGAACAGACACGGCCTCTTGGGGAACGGGAACCGGTGCAGGAGGCCCAGCCGCAGGGCCCCTGGATGTGGCCGGAGGGAACCTTGCTCGCCGGCATGAGAAGGACCAGGCTCCTGGCCCCGCTTCACCGGGGCAGGCAGCCGGCCACGGGGTCCGGCCGCAGCACGGGCACGAAGTTCACGGGGCACAGCAGCAGCGGGCACATCTTCTCGTGCTCCTTCAGTGCCTCGCTCAGGTGCCTCAGCTCCTCCCGCAGCTTCCCGATCTCCCTCTGCAGCAGCGTGTTTTCTTGCTCCAGGCACTCGTACTCCTGGGGGAGAGGGAAGGGGCGACTTCATTTCTTCCCCGTCCTCCTGGCAGACCAACCCCGCGCTGGGACGTGCGTCTCCTTTCCACGAAAACCTTCTCATTTACCTGCCCCCCTTCTGCCTCCCCTGAGTGAGGGTTTGGGTCACTGGCTTACTGTGTCCCCTCCCGCCAAGAGGAAAAGGTCAGGGTGGGCAGGCCTTTGTCCAAAAAAAAAAAAAACTCCATGAGGTGTAATTTACAGAAAACAAAACACGCCTATCTTGTGTGTCTAATTCAGCGAGTTTTGACAAATTGTAAAGAACTACGTGGATCGGGACAGAATGCTTCCGTCACTCCGGAAAGTTCCCTCGTCCTCCCAGGGAGCCTCCACTTTCCCCCCAACTGCTGATCCGTTTTCCAAAGGTCTCTCTCTGCTGGGTTCACTGCTATGGCCCCAGCACCCGGACCAGTGCCTCGAACACAACACGTGTTTGCTGAGGACTGAGTCAATGAACCAGAGCACCCCTTGCTCTGGTTTTGCTCCAATTACTCGTGTGTTAATTTTCCTCTACGTCAGCGTTGACAGGGGCTTAGAACCAAAGGGGATCACAGAGACCTCTTTGCGGCTAAGGTCTCCTAAATAAGGTCTCTCTCAAACGCACACGATGTAGAGACACCGTCCCTGTGTGATTCTAGCCCAGACACCCAGCCAGCGCTGAGCATTCTCTCCTCCAAAGGAGGGTCCCCGCCGCCGCCGTTTCTGAGCTGCCCGAGAAGGAAGCGCCGCGTTGCAACTGATCGAAAAACTCTCTCTCCTTCAAACCCACCTATTGGGCTTGGTTCCACCTTAGGGAACCACACAGAGTAAATGCAATAGTTTTTCAACGTCGCAGTTCTTGAAATGTCAGGAGGCAGCCCCATACCACTTCCCTTTAGGTATTCTCTGAGCTCAACGGTCGCGGGTCCTTTGGGCTCCTCGGGTTGTGGGACTCCTCGCCCCTGTGCCCTCTTGGATGCCATCCAACACACGTGCTCCCCTGTGCCAGGGGCTCTGAGAGAGTATCCTTCCCAGCATGCAGTGCATGATCCCAGGGATGGCCTGACCCTGCAGAGGGCAGATGGTGCAGGTGATCTGCACGAGGCTGGACCCAAGCCACAGCCACCCCGCTCCGGGGACTCCCCCCTGAGCACGCAGAGAAGTGCAAGCTTTGTCTGCCTCGGCTGCTTCTTGGTTTTTACTTTAAGGACGATTGATCTTTTGGAGCTTAGGCCTCACACCCACCTCTACTGCATTTCACCCTGTTCCCGTGAGCATCTTCCCGCCTAGCAAGTCCTTCAGAATCTTGATGGGCCCCTAGATTAGTGAGACCACAAGCTTCATTTAAGCTGTCCACAAGCTTGGTAAGCAGGCCAAGCAGGTCTTCCTTTCCTTCCTCCAAGTCATGAATACGTTCTGCAGTACTTGGCCAGTGGCAGAGGCCCTCTTAAGGCTGACAACCTTACTTAAGTCTTGCCAAAATGTTGTTTACAGTCATTTCTGGATTCACACTATTGAGCTTTGTTGTGCCAGGCGCACCATGTTTCCTGAGCAGAGGGCCCAACCTTGTTATCTATTACACCTTTTATTTTACTAGTCATTTTTAAGAAATATCACTAAAGAGTCTTGCAGGCTCTTAAGGTGCATGCAAATTCTCAACTCTGCCCCTGGACTGCCTTCCTCTTTTTCTCTGTGGGCCCAGTTCAAGCCCACCGCCTCCAGGAAGGCTTCCATGATCATAGCACCCAATGGGAACATCTCTTATTATGTGTGTCTTCTTCAGTCTTGTATCATATTCAGTCATACTTAAATAAGGTCTCTCTCCAAAGATCAGAAATGTATACAGCACACGGGGCCTCTGCTACCTTCTCCTGTACCCCACCTGACAGGCCCCAGTGCTCAGGGTCCCCTCAGCCCTCTGTCTCCCTCTCTCACCCACTTCCTTCCCTCTCTCCCCTACAGACATCTTCCCCCCTCTAAGAACAAGGGGCCCAAAGGGGCTGATCTGCTCTGATCCCGACTGCCACTGCTGTCCTCTGCCTCCTGCCTCTTTTAGGCAGGCTCTCAGGATGGTCTGGAATACTCTGCAAGGCAGCAGGCCTCACCCCTTCTCCCCACAGGTTGTCCTGGGTCAGGCTGGCCTCATTAGGACATTGGCCCTGTTCTGCCCTCAGCCCTCCTCCAGCTCCCCATGCTCTCCTCTGGCCTCTGGCTAGCTGCAGTCCCAGAGTCAGAATTCAGTCTACAAACACAGCAACCAATCCCTCCGTGAGCAAGGGGAGGGTCTCTGGGTGGGAGGATGGAGGTGGAAGCCTGCCTGCAGCAGGTGAGAGGCTCACACACACACACACACACACACCCAGAAATGCCCCCCACTTCAAGTAAACAGAGAATAGATATGAATGGTTTCAACGAGCTAACATTTCAGCAGGATTCCAAAGAACAGGAAGCGCTCCTCTTGTGGCAAACATTCCAAACTGACTTTCCATATTGACCGCGTTTTGTGGCGAGACGCTGTGAGCTTCCGAGCTTTGTCTCTGGAAGCCCCACGGAGTCGTGCCGCTGAAGGTACCGCTGCTCTCCTCCAAACCCCAGCGCGGAAGGGCCCAGAGCTGCCTGCACAGGCGCCCGGCAGGCCCCTCACCTGCCTTCTCCGAGGGGACTTTCTCCTCTGAGATTTAATATGCTGAGGGACTTTTCTAGAGCTGCGTGAATAAGAAAGAGAGGAGAAGCAGAAACCTTTTTCAGGTCAGATTAGGGCTACCAAAATAAAAGAAGGGGAGGGAGGAGAAAGGAGAGCACACGGAGAGGGAACACGGGGGAAAGAGTAAGACCCCCCCTCACACCGAGAAGAAACTCCCTGGACTTCGCAGCCATGAAAAATCATCAACAACATAAGGCCCTTTGCCATGTCCAAGGAGATGCTTGGTTTAGCTCCACGACCGGTGTTGGAGGTGAGTGAGGAAGTCCTTTTGCCTCAGGAGGGGTTTGAGAATACTGGGCGGCCTGCCTGGGCATCTGCCAGGATGTGGTCAAAAGGCCGAGACCTACAAATGAGGTGGTGAGGTCACTGCAAGTCCCAGTGCTGCTCAGAAATGGAGCTGTTGAGGGCAGTGATTCTCAGGGGGGACAATACGTCAGTCCCCAGGGACGCCTAGAGTATCTGGAGACAGTTTGGGGGAAGGGTGCTACTGCATCTAGAGGGCAGAGGCCAGGGAAGCTGCTTAAGGGTTTACAGCGCACAGGACAGGCCCCCCCTCCCCCACTCCCCCCAACAAGGAATTACCTGACCCCCAAGGTTGAGCAAGCCTGGTCTGGGCACCTAAGAGAGATAGACTGAGGGGCTGTGGGGCTGTCTGGGATAGTCAGGGTCCAGGAGGCCTCAGGGGCAGAGGGAAGGAGCAGGACTGGTGAAAAAGACAATGTGGGTACCAGGGACCAGAAGTGATGACTAAGGCAGGAAAGGACAGGAGGGAGAGGAAATGGCCGTGGGGAGAACACAGCCACACACAGACCCCATTTCCCACGCAAGAAACTGAAACTCAAGAGAGGCCCGGTGACTTTTCCAAGGTCATGTAGACCTGACCCTGACCCCCGATTTCAAGGTCAATGGCAATGCTTATGCAATGACAGCAAGTCAACCTTCACGTGGCCATGCCTGGACTGCCAGTTTCCCCATGATGGTGGTTACCAGCAGAAAAGGGTTGTCAGCGCTCAGGATTTTACAATTAATCTATTCCCAAACCCTGCACGAATCCCCTTCCCAGCAGAGACATGTGTCACCAGCAAGGGCTATAAAATTTAGTGTCATCACCAGTTTCTAAACCAAGTGGGGACTGACACAAAGCCTTCTCTTAGAAAACGCAATTATCTGGAACCACCCTGGCAACACATACCACAACCGTATTACTCAAGAAATGCGTCCGTTTGTGACATTTAGGGGCTCCGAGGGGTGGCATCACTGCCTTCCTTCTCTGACTCAGAAGTCTTTCTCAGTCTTACACCTTCCAGTGCCGAGCGCCAACCAGTCTGACCCACTTCTGAAACCAGGGCCTTTCTTTCAGCCTCTGCCTTGGGGTGCTGGACTGTTCACTCCGTTCCTGTTTGTGACTGTGGACTCAGGCGTGTGCCTGACGTCCAGAGATGAATAGGGTTCGAAATCCCCACGGGAGGTTGTCAGCGCCGTGAAGGGATGCTTTGAAAAGCCACAGAGAGCACTGAGGTCCACAGACACACATGGGTAACTGCTTCTCATCACTGCAGCCCAACTTCCAGCAACTGCTACCCTGAGGGGGGAAACTCTCCCCTGGCTTGGCCTGTCCTGGCTCCGCTCCCCGCCCTTCCATCCCCCGACCCCCGGGCCTGCCCTCCAAGAGGGAGGCCCACCTGGAAGGACAGTCCTCTGGCTTTGGTAAAGGAGAACTGGCTTTGGCAAAGGAGAACTGGTGGCCAAGAGACTTAGGTGAGATGGGACTGGAGGAGATGAGTGATTGAGGTGGGCAGAGGAAAAAGGTGGGAATTTTTTTTTTTCACATTTAAAAAAATATATATATTATTGATTTTTTACAGAGAGAAAAAGAGAGGGAAAGAGAGTTAGAAACATCAATGAGAGAGAATCATCGATCAGCTGCCTCTTGCACATCCCCTACCGGGGATGTGCCCACAACCAAGGTACATGCCCTTGACCGGAATCGAACCTGGGACCTTCCAATCCACAGGCCAACGCTCTAACCACTGAGCCAAACCGGTTCTGGCAAAGGTGGGAGTTTTAAAAGTCTTGCTCTAAATATTCCCCTTCTGGGTATTCAAGAAAAGCAAATAAAGATCTTGAGTGACTCTGAGATGTTTAGCAGCGCTACCCAGGGTCTAGGAGAGAGGCATCTATGGGGCAGGGACTTTTCTCAAATCTCCGGAGGGAGGAGTACGCATGGCTGCTTCCTGCTCCTGGGTATCTCCCAGTGAGCTGGCCCCTCCACACACTGTGTCCCCTCTCACTTTCCCATCCTACCTGTGGCTGGGAGCCCCAGGGGGCCTGAGGGGCTTTCTGCCGTGGCTGACAACAGTATGCTAGATGCTCCGCCCTCAACTCACCACATTTTTTTTTTATCAGATGACCTATCCCCAATATGAAGATTCTTTTCAATGTTTAAAATATAGTCTATCTGCACTAATAAAAGAGAAACATGCAAATTGACCATCACTCCACTACACCCACCAGCCAATCAGGAGGTAATATGCAAATTAAAAGGACAGCTGGAGTGGCCAGGCAGGGCAGGACACCTGCTATGAGAGGGAGGGCAGGGAGAGGGGGCAAAGGGATCTATAGGAGTGGCACTCCGGCCGCAGTGAAGACAAAGATGGCAGACTCCAGTTGGAGTCTGCGGTGAAGACTGAGACAGCAGACTCTGGCCAGAGCTTGCAGCAAAGACAAAGAAAGCAGACTCCGGCCGGAGCGAAGGCCTGGGTCCCGGGTGCCGGAGGAAAACCGGAGCTGGAGGCCAAGGGAAGGAAGGCCTATTGCACAAATCTCTTCGTGCAACAGGCCTCTAGTTTTTACTACATTTACTTTTTTTCTTTTGGTACGTTGGCCATATAGAAAGAACCTAGATCCCCAAACTATGATGTGCTCCCTGGAAGGAGGCAAGGAATGAAGCAGGAGGGATTATTTAAGTGGGCCAGAGATGCCGCTCCTCCTCTTCTACTGAAGGACTGGATATTTCCATTTTCCTGAGCCCACCCCCAGCTCCCTCACCCCCTCCGTGACCAATGACGTGGGTGTGTTAGTGACAGCTGAAGGCCTCCAGCTTTGGGGTCGGTCGATGGCCTCCTCCTAGATGCTGTAGTTTTCAACCAAACTGGTCTCACTGAGGGGATCTGCCAGGTGCACAGTCCTCATGCATTCTTCTAGCTCCACTGAGGAAGGCGAGAAGGGAATGTCCTTCCACGGAGGGACCAGCTTTCAGATCGACTGACCAGCCCATTTCTGGAAAGGACACCTGGCAGAATCAGTCCTGTCTGTGAACAGCAGAACAGGCTAGGAGCCCCGCTGAAGGGCCCTCCGCCTGCGGTTCTAAGAGGGAGCCTGTGGGAGTGCGTGTGGCACCAGCCCTAAGTTTCCCAGGCCCCTGGTTCATTGACTCAAACAGTGACAGAAATTGAGAGACACCTTGTCTTAACTCTGTAGTAAATTAGTTCTGTTGCTTTCTGTGATAAAATAACAGCCCCCCCCCCAAAGATGTTCAAATCCACTCTTTGGAACCTGTGAATATGTTACTCGAAGTGGCAACAGGATCTTTGCAGATGTGATTAAGTCAAGAATCTTAAAATGGGGAGGTTCACCTGGATTCTGCAGGTGGACCCAATTAATCACAAGAGTCTTTTTTAAGGAGTCAGAAAAGGATATGTGACCATGGGGGAAAGTGTCAGAGCAATGCAGCATGAGAGAGACTCAACTGGCCAGCTGGCTTTGAAAATGGAAAGAGACCACAAGCCAAGGGACACAGAAGCTTCTAGAAGTTGGAAAAAGCGAGGAGATGGATTCTTAGCCAGAGCCTCCAGAAAGAACGCAGCCCTGTCGACACCTTGATGACAGCCCCGTGAGATCCACTTCAGACACCTGACCTCCCAAACTGTCAGATAAGAAGTCTGTGTTGTTTTAAGCCACCACGTTTGCTCTGATTTGTTACAGCAGCCACAGGAAACTAATACACATTCCCTGTAAACTCCTGTGCTTCCCAAGGACAGGAATAATAAGACATCACTCCTCCCTTTGTGGCCCAGTCACAATGCCCACAGCAGTGCTTAATAAATGTTTGTGAGGTGCATCTACTTGACCTTTCTCTAAGAAAGACCTGTTCAAGTCATTCAGTCACCTCTATACACATAATCGCTCGGGACCTAACACTGAGTGTCCTCTTGTGTTTTTCTTTATTTATTTTTTAAATATATATATATATATATATATAATTTATTTATTTATTTATTTTTTTACAGAGAGGAAGAGAGAGGGATATAGAGTTAGAAAGATTGATGAGGGGGAAACATTGATCAGCTGCCTCCAGTGCACTCCCTACTGGGTATGTGCCCATGTACATGCCCTTGACGGGAATCGAACCTGGGACCCTTGAGTCCACAGGCTGACACTCTACCCACTGAGCCAAACAAGTTCGGGAAACCCCTCTTGTGTTTTTTATATGAATGTACCTGCCTTGGACTAGAAGCTTCTTGAGGGGAAAGACCCGAGCTGCCCAACTGGCACATGTTCTAGCACAGGGCCATGCACTGTGAGCCCCAGGTCCCTTCCAGGGGTTACTCGGTGACAGGAAGCTAGAAGCAGGACAGCTTTAGGAGCAAGGGTGGAGGGAGAAAAGAGGCAGAGGGCACTGCAGTTCTTCTGAGGAAAGGTTATGGAACTAATCAAACCTGGGAAGGACCTTCCCTGACCCCAGTCTGAAGAGCACAGAGCCCAGCCTTTCTACTGCCCCGCTGGGAAGCTGTATTAGTGGGTCTCCTCTCCCTGGAGTATGTACATCCTAACTCGGTTCTCTCTTCATTGTTAAAGGGTTTTCAGAGAGTGTCATTCCCCCTCCAAACACCCCTGTCTCCTCCTCTGCCGTCAACGCCCCCAGACTGGACTGCTGAGACAATCTATGGCAAGAAAGCTTGGCAGCAGAGAGCTCATCTAAAATTGTAATTATTCACACCAGCTCTGGGCAAAGACGAGAACTCAGAATGGGCCCCTGCTCCTCGGATAGACTGTTGGATGCCTCTGAGGCCAGTTCCTGATAGAGAGCAGGTCCCATGTCCTGGCCTAGAGATGATGTGGGGTTATGCACGGTGGTTGAGGCGAAATGGAAGAGTTTAGGAACCTGGAACCCACCCAGGTTCCAGATGTGGGTGATGGGAACGATGGTTAGCTCCATTAAGTACAAATGGAAGACAGTGAGAACAGACCATCTCGGGGTCAATAGGCCTCTATTATGACCGTCTGCATGCGAGGAGCCTGCAGCAGACCCATTGGGAAACTGGAGATGTGAGGTTATGGCTAAAACAGAGGTCTTTCCCAGAGTGACTGATGTTAGGAAAACAGATTAAAGATTCAGTTTTCCAGGGTGAGAGTCTGATCAATAACATTTAAGAAAACAGACAAAGAGAAAAATCTAACAAAGAAATTGAGAGGAAAAAGTGGTTAAGAGGGTCAGGAGAAGTAGGTGATGTGGTTTTTGTTTTGTTTTGTGTTTTGTTTTTCTGTTTTTTATTAAAAGCTAAAGAATGGTGTCAAATAGTCCAGCAAAGTCAAGGATGATGAGACTAGTGGTCTCAGCAGGAGCAGCTTCTATAGGAAGTGTGTGCGTGTGTGTGTGTGTGTGTGTGTGTGTGTGTGAGAGAGAGAGAGAGAGAGAGAGAGAGAGAGAGAGAGAGAGAGAGAGAAGTGGGGGGGACATGTTGGGTGGGGAAGAGGGCAGAAACAAAATCAGAGGACTGGGAATAAAAAGGGACTGAGGCCATAGAGCCAGCATCTCTCTCGTTAAGAAACAGAAAAGTGAGGGAAGGAAAGGAAAGGGCGTTAGCTAAAAAGGGAATCGGGCTCAAAAGGGACTCTGTGGTCTTTTTTTGTCTTATAACGAAAGAAACCTGGGTGTGAGATGCAGCCAGTGGATGAGGGGAAATGAAGAGGCCCCTGAGCAGAGAACCGGAACCCTGGGCTGGAAGCACGGAGCAGAATTAGAGGTGCACGTGGCCACATTGGCGATGACCTGGACGTGGCCTCGGGGCCACGGCCACATGCCAGGGTCTCCATGGCCCCAGCGTGGCTCTGCTCCTACCACAGCCTCACCTCATGGAGTTTGTCAGCCTTCTGGGTCTGCTTCTTCCGACTTCTCTGAGCAGCAACGCGGTTTTTCTCTCTCCTTCGGACCTTCCTGTCGTCATCCTCAGGGCTCTGGGGAAAGACAGGTATGTGGTCAGGAGTGACGTGGAGGCTCCCCACCTCCTCCCTGCCTGCCCTCTCTCCTCACACAGCATGGCTCTCTGCCTTCGCTGTCTCACCTGCAGCCACAGCAGTGCTTGTGGCTACATCATTAGGCAGCAGTAGCCCCGGTGAAGGAACGCTCCCCAGATGCTTAGCTGCGAATCCCCACGGCCACGCTGAGAAACGTGTGGTGTGAGCGCCCGGTGAAGGATGAGGAATTGGAAACCCAGAGAGGTTAAGGAACTTGGCTCCAGGTACCCCAGCTAGTGCGTGGGTGGATGGGAAGTGGAACTCAGGTCTGTTGAGCTCCACCAACGCTCATCAACCTCTCCCCTGCAGGGCGTGTGCCGGGAAGAGAAAGCTGTGGTGTGGCGCGCACCTCTGAGAACGGGAAAGACAGAAAGCATCCTGAAACCGTCTGGAACTTGCTGCGTGCGAGGCCTTACACCACCACGCACCAACAGGGGCTCTGAGACTCGGCGAGGGTCGAGATTGCTCTTACAACTCATTGCACCCACAAACCTCTACCGGCACACCAAACGACCTTCAACACCACGGCCAGCAGGCTCGCGTGAACCACGCTCGACTGACATTGTTTCCCAGGTCGGAGCGAGTCAGAAAGCAAACGGATGATGTGTCTCAGAAGCCCTTAGCTGTATCTGAGATGTAACCAAACCTAGTCAAATCCTCCAAGAGTTTCCATGAAATAGGCAGGCAGAACAATGTACCCACCGTGGTACAAACACTTCATTCAGTTACAGAAAACACAGAGACGAGAGCATTTGCTTTCAGGACCCTATGAGAGGACCCCATGAGAGGACCCCAAGGAGGGGGGGCGGTAATGCTACTTTTAAAGAGTTCAAAAGTCAAGAGGTTAGTGGGATAATACACAGGAAAGCTACTCAACCATCCATGTGAATTGAAAGCAAATACTGATCATATAAAGTAATGAATGTGTTCAGTGATCCTTTTATTTGGCCTTGTAATTCCAAATAGAGACACATACCATCTCCCCAAGTAATGAGGATAAAGAATTTTTAGCCGAAACGGGTTTGGCTCAGCGGTAGAGCGTCGGTCTGCGGACTGAAAGGTCCCAGGTTCAATTCCGGCCAAGGGCATGTACATTGGTTGCGGGCACATCCCCGGTAGAGGGTGTGCAAGAGGCAGCTGGTCGATGTTTCTTTCTCATCGATGTTTCTAGCTCTCTATCCCTCTCCCTTCCTCTCTGTAAGAAAATCAATAAAATATATTTTTAAAAAAAGAATTTTTAGCATATGCAAGAATAAAGGAAAGAATAAAAATACATGTATATGTACACACACACACACACACACACATATATATATATATATCATCATAAGTAGAAGAGGCCTGGGGCTTAAGGAAACAGACACAAGGTGTTAAGATATAGTTCTTTTGAGGCAAAAAAAGTCTTGGTACAGAAACCCAGAACACCACAGGGGGCGGAATGTGGTGTAGAGGACAGAACTTTCGCTTTAGAAATGCACAGCTTCTGGGTGGTGTGTGTGTGTGTGTGTGTGTGTGTGTTTCTCCTCCTACTGTCGATATGGTCTTGGGGACCCTCTTCTCTGAATTTTCGGTTTTCTCATTTATTGTAAGTATGATTCATTCGGTTCTTTCAATAGTGTTCACTGAGGGCCTGCCATGTGCCAGGCATGGTCCCAGGCCCTGGAGACACATGCCCAGAACCGCAGCTTGAGGCCCGGCACGAGATGAAACAAGATTTTTATCTTACAGCTCCCAGCACACAGTATGCCCACAGCAACCTGTGCTGAGGTGGCTGCTATTCTGTAATCCAGTCAGCTCAGCGAGTCCCCTATTGTCACCCCACCATGCCTCTATGTTCTGCAGAATCCGAAAGCCACAGGGCCAGATGAAGCTGGCTGCAGCTTGCCCTCCACACACCCACACTCTACACCGGATCACCAGCTTCCCTACGGTCACACCTGACCACCCAGAACAATGTACCCACCACGGTACAAACACTTCATTCAGTTACAGAAAACACAGAGACGAGAGCATTTATCAGGGCAGAGAGGGAGGAGCGGAGATATGGTTACCATATTAGTAACCATATCTCAACGAAGTCCTCCCAGGAATCAGGAGAGGCTGGATTATTACACGTCCTATTGCAGGTGGGGGGAATCGCAGACCGACGAGGTGAATAACATTGCCGATGGCTGTCCAGCCTGGGTGGCAAAGCCAGACGCAAACTCAGACCTGTGCCTCGGGGGACTCTCTAGCATCATCCGGTGACCCCATTTGCCCACCCCGAGGTGAGGGGGAGGGGGCATAATGAAGGAGAGACTCAGTCCCAAGGCAGCCGATGGAAAGTCTCCCACCGCCGTCCCCGCGGGCAGCCGGGTCTCCGGTGCCGAGGACGCAGCGGTCCACGTTGCGGGGCGGCGCGGAGGGGCTTCCAGCGGCGCCGGGTGTGGGGCCCCCGCCCGCCCCTCCGCAGCCCCCCGTCCCGCGCCCCCGGGCTGCCCGGCCCGAGTTCCCCCTTCTGGCGGCGGCCGGCGGCCGGGGAAGGGGAGAGAGAGGTCGGGGCGCCGGGGCACGAGCTGCCCCTTCGGGCTGAGTGTGTGTCCCCCGCCCCCGAGAGGGCCACGCGCGGCCCCACGTGCGGGGGGACGCGGCCCGGGCGCCTCCCAGGCCGGCGTCGGCGTCCTCGGGTCACCGCGCTGCGCGCCGCGGTCCTGGCACCCGCCCCCTGGACAGGGCTCGCACCCCTGCCCCCCCACGCCCCCGGCCCGCGGCCAGCACCCCGGGACCCCGCACCGCCTCCCCAGCCCCGGCTCCCTCGCTACCTGCGGCTGCGACTGGTTCCCCGGCGCCGCGACGACGCTCCTGGGCGGGGCGCTGCCGGCGGCCGGGAGCCCCTGCGACATGCCGGGCGCTCGTCCGCCCCGCCGCCCGGCCGCGCGGCCCGCCGGCCCTGCCCCGGGCTCCTCAGCGGCCTCCCCGCCCCGCACCTGCCGGCCCCGCCCCGCGCGCCCCGCCCCGCGCCCTCCGCCGTCGGCCCGCCGCCCGGGCTTCCCCGCGCCCGCCGCGGCCCTTCCCGTCCGAGTCCGCCCGCCCCTCCGCCCATCCCGCCGCGTCTCCTCCCCGGGGGCCGCGCCCCGGGGTCCCCGATCCCACCCCCGCCGCCCCGCCCCCTGCATGGAGGTCACGTGGCGGCCCCCCAAACCCCGAGGGCAGGCGAAGCCCCCCACCGGGTGGGGTGGGGCCGGGGAGGGGCAAGGCGCAGCCCGGTGTGGGGTCCCTCGGCCGCTCTCAGGGAATCGGGGTGAGAAACACAAGTGGGTGGTTTGGGGTTTGGTGGTTCCCCCCCCCCACCCCCCTCCCGGGTCCCATCACAGCATCTTCCTGCGCATCGGCGCCGCCTCCCCCAGCGCAAGGGTCACACAGTCCTGGGGGACTTTCTCCGGGGGATCAGTCACCGGGGAGGGCGCCCCTCTCCCTCCTTCCGCCGCCCTGGGGTCCCCCCCCCCCCGGCCCCTCACCCCCGCCTGGGAGGCTCAGGTCCCGGGAGGAGACAGCCGGGCCCACCGTGCGCCCCGAGAGCCAGGGGCGCCCCGGGATGAATGCCCTCGGGGGTGGGGGTGGAGGGGGAGGTGGGGGAGGAGGTGGGGAAGGTGGGGGAGGAGGTGGGGTGCGGGGGGAGGGGGAGGTGGAGGTGGGGGGGGACGTGGGGGTACGGGGGGAGGTGGTTGCCCTGGAGAGCAGCACCGCCCGGCTTCCCTGAGAGCAAACCTCTCGCGGCGGACGCCACCGTTGACAGGTTTGGGGACCTGGACCTCCGACCGTTTTTGTGTTTTTCTTTTTTTTTTCTTTTTTCTTTTACAAAATTAAAGTGGCAGCCGCTCTGCCTAAGCGCCCAGAGGGGTGACTTCGCGCTGAGCTGGGAACGGGGTAGGAACCCGCGGGCCGTGGGGAGCTGCAGAGTCAGGCAGCGCCGTACGAGGAAGGTCCCAGAGAGAAGAACGCGGGCGGTTAGGGTCTGCGGTCTGCACCCTGTGAGCCCCGCGCGAGAGAGATACCCCGGAACCGGTGTGGGCGGGTGGGGAGCGGGACCAAGGGTCAGATGGCGGCCCAGGGCTGCAGCGGGGGGTGGAGGCCGGCGCTTCCCACTCCCAATCGGGTGCACGTGGCTCTCCGGGTGGGATTCCAGCTCCGTGCCAAGGCTGGGGAGAGTCCTGTCTGTCTGGGTGGGCAGGGGCTCTGACCAGCTGCACGGAGGGTGGAGGCGCAAGGCTGAGGTCAGGAGGTGGACTCCACACCCTCTATTCTCCACAGCGGAGCCATCTCTACAGCAGGTTGTCCGCCTAGACTTACCTCCTCATCTCCTTGTCTTCACTTGAGCATAACGCGTAGTCCCACACAGGCACAGGACTCAGTAAATCTATTGCAGTAAATCTATCAACCGACAGCCCTCACTCTTGCAAATGAAAAAGGACTCTAGCCGAAGCCCCTTTGCCTCAGTGGATAGGATCAAATCCTATATCAAATTAAAAAAAAAAAAACCATGGAGACAATTTTCTGAGACAACCTGGGACAGGAGAAATCACATTGGAAAGAGCATAGGCCTGCGACTGAAATGTCCCAGTTCGATTCTGGTCAAGGGCATGAACCTTGGTTGTGGGCACATCATCAATGTTTCTAACTCTTTATCCCTCTCTATTCCTGTAAAAAAAAAAAAAAAATCAATAAAATATATTTTAAAAAAAGAAAAAGGACTCTAACAAGATAGGAAGACTTTTGGGTCAAGCTGACATGTTTATGAAGGAAAAGGGGTAAAAACAGTGGACGTTAGGTGCCGCCCCCACACTTCATTCCCATAGTCGCCACTTTTCTGTTCCTGGGACCGCGCCCAGCACACGAGGACTCCTCCTATGACAGGCCCACTGTCCTAGTCACTCAAGGGTTCCTTCAACTCTCTTCCAAGGAGGAGGCTTGGTTAACTAGTTAGCATTTAAGGAACAGATCAGTTTGACCTACACCTCATACATCAAAATATTGGATGAAATAATTGGATGTAGAAAAGAAAACTAGGAAGGTAAAACAGAATCAAATCCTATATCAAATTTTTTAAAAATACCACGGAGAGAATTTTCTGAGACAACCTGGGACAGGGGAAATTACACTGGGAAGATGTGAGCCGCAAAAGAATGTTAAATTGCTTTAGATGACATTTGTGACTGAAGATTTAAAAACAAACAGATGGGCCGAAGCCGGTTTGGCTCAGTGGTAGAGCATTGGTCTGCGGACTGAAAGGTCCCAGGTTCGATTTGGTTGCGGGCACATCCCCGGTAGGGGGTCTGCAAGAGGCAGCTGGTCGATGTTTCTCTCATTGATGTTTCTAGCTCTCTAGCTCTCTCTCCCTTCCTCTCTGTAAAAAATCAATAAAATATATTTAAAAAGAAAAAAAAAACAGATGGGGGAAATATTCATGGTAAATCTGAGAAAGGGTTAAAATTTCTAGTATATGTACAGTCCATGAAAAGAAACAAAATAAGTACTGAGATAACCTCCCAAAAGTAAACTGCACAAGTGGCATGAACTGGCATTTCCCAATAGAATAAGGAAAGTAGATATAAAAAATGTATTAAAATGAGAAAAAATATTAAATTAATAAAAATCAAGGCTGTATCAAATGCCAGTGACAGTGGTGAAATTAGAACTGTCATATTTCACTGGCATCATTATAAATTGGTACAAACCAACTGGAAAACAATTTTGTTGTAATTTTTAAGAGCCAGGCAAGATTCGTTGCTTCTTACTTTGTTTTCCCTAGAAAACTTCCAGAAAAATCAAGCTAGGAAGGACATCGAAAATACTAAAGAGAAAAATACTATATGCAGTAAAAGTTCATAACATTTGAAGAATGAACATTTGTAGGCAGCATAAATGTCTAATGAGAGGTGAATGGTTTAATAACATGTCATAGTCATAGAATGAAACATTGTGCATCTTTAAAATTACAAGCATCAGACAAATTTGGCACATGGAAGATTTATTTGATATGAGGTACAGTGAGAAAAGGTCAGGATACAGTAAGTACAAATAGAACATGTATGTAAAAATGTATGCACAAATCTACTGTCCACTTAAAAAATGATGAAGATGGTAAATTTATGTTGTGTGTTTTATACCACAATGAGAAAGTAGATGTATATGAGAATAAAATTAGAAGAGAATATATTTTTAAAAATCCTAGCTTTCCTGTGGTGGTAGAGAATTTATAAATCATTGTTTTCACTTGTATTTTTTAACTTTTTGAAAAATATTTGATTGTGTTAACATCTAAAAATGTTTTGTATTTACAAGCAGTATTGTCTTCCTGGCACTAAGGGCTGGATACCAAGAGGGGATGTCAGGTGACTAAGTTCATTGTCACACCGAATGCCAACACCTCACTGACCAAGTAGGATGCTGTAATAAAAACCTGTTGGTATTTTTTTTTTCACTTTCCTGTAACATTTTTTGATTCATTTTATTCTAAGTCATAAGGGGGAAGAAAAACGAAAAGACATAAACAAGAACAAACATTTCAAATGTCGTTTTTTCCTTAGAACTTGGAAAAGAAATTAATTACATAATTTGGCAATTTCCTATCACTCCCACAATAACCCTTTGGGGACAGGGGAGGAGGTGCAGGAGGTCAGGGATCAAATCCTCCGGTGATTCACTTCACAAGAAGACGGTTCGTTGTAAACACCACTTGTTCAAATGCTAGAAAACCCGGTCCCTCTGTCACCTTTGCTCTTCCCTTTTTAGGGACACGGCCTTCCAGTAAGTGTACTTCCACTGATCCTTCTCAGAAGGTGATCCTGTGGGCTTCCGGCGCGGCTAGAAAAAGGAGAGTTTAAGGTGAAGGCCCCAGCGTTGACCGGAAATCAGTCATGTGTCAGGCACTGTTGTAGGCACTGGGGCACAGCAGTGAACAGAACAAAGACCTGCACCTCGTGGAGCTCACGTTCTGGAGGAGAAAGACAATCACAACATGTGGTATTTATTTATTTTATTGATTTCAGAGAGGAAGGGAGACGGGGAGAGAGAGAAACATCCATGTTGAGACAGAATCATTGATCAGCTGCCTCCAGCACACCCCACACTGGGGATAGAGCCTGCAACCCAGTCATATGTCCTGATTGGGAATTCAACCAGGACCTCCTGGTTCATAAGTTGACCCTTAACCACTGAACCACGCAGGCTAGGCACAGCGCATAGCATTTAGATAGTGATGTGCTCTATGAAGAAATTTGAAGCAGGGGAAAGAAATAGAGAAGAGTAAGGGATGGGTTTCCTGAAGGAGGCAAGAGGGAGCCGTGAGAATATCTGGGAGTAGTCCAGGATGCAAAACAGTAAACTCAAGACCCCCTGGGGAGCGTGCCTGGCCATTCCAGAGAGCGTAGGAGGCTGGAGTGGACTGAGGAAGGGCTGCATACCAAGAGGTGATGTTAGAAAGGCAAAGAGCCAGGTCACACAGGGCCATCTGGACTGTTGACTTTTACTCGAAGTGACGTTGGAAAACATTGCAGGCTTTTAAGCAGAAGTGTGACATGATCTGACTTAAGTTTTTATAGGATCACTTTGGGCCCTGTGTTAAGAATAGAAAAAGGCATTTGAGCCCTGGAAGCTGGGTCAGATTTTCCAGGAAGTTAATGAGCAAAGGCTTTAAAGCACCTCATGTGGTCACATCATGAAAGACTAAAATAAAATTTGCAAAAATTAGATATTTTGACCACAAATGGTTAAGACCACGGTCTTTTTTTTTATCCCAACTTCCCCTCAGTCCCTTCATGTCTGATAGTGCTGAAGTAGTTATGGGCATTTGAGGGCTCTTGAGAGAGATTAATCAGAGATATCTATAATAATAAAAGCATAA